AATAAGATAATTTTTTATCTTCTGTTCATAGGATAAATATATAAAATAATAAATTAACAAATTAAAGTTAAATTATAAAAATCAACACAATTTTTTAACTATAAAGAAATCTTTTCTTATGGTATAGTTTTTATTCATAAATAATTTTGTAAGTTCGGTTGATATTTTCTATATAAATTGACTTAATATCAACAAAACAAAATAAATAATGAAGTTTATTCACCTTAAAATGTATTCCCTTTTCACTTATGAATGGTAATTACTTAATTTCTCCTTTTTAACAATTCTATAAACAAAAATTTAAATAAAATTTAATAATAAAATTTTATAAATCCTGCCTACAAGGACAAGTTTTCCCTATTCCCTAAATTAACTGTTTTCTAACCAAATAAATATTCTTCAATAATATAAATTATGCAACTTTTGATATATTTTAGATATTATAAATTATAATATCGAAAAATGATCAAAATTACTTTAATTTACTTAGAGAAACTATTTATTTCTCTAAAAAATTAATTAAATAATTAATTCAAATGAATTCATTATTTCCTATTATAAATAATAATTTGGGAGTATTAGGATCAATATTTATTGAATCTTTAAAACTGCTACATCAATATAGTATATTACTATATGAACACAGCTCATAAGAGAATATTCAATAAACTTACGATTTGCTTTTTATACCATTTAAGGATTCAGATTATAAGGTGGAACAAAGATTTCTCAATAGCCCCTCAACACTTTCACCATGGCTTAACTTTGTAGAATTCTAAAATATAATTAATAATTTAATGATTAATAATTATATTATTTATTAGGAAAAACTAATTGTATATTGTTTTTATAGTACAGGTGGAACAAAGATTTCTCAATAGCCCCTGTACTAATTATGTTATGTGTATAAATGTAGTGAAAAAAATTATATAATCCAGGTGGAACAAAGATTTCTCAATAGCCCCTGGATAATAATTGAAGTGTATTACCTGTGTTATTTGCTTTCAAAATGAGAGAGCTTACCCCTACCTTCAGAGGATGCTCATTTTTGCCATGCATTTCTTACCGTCAATTCTATCCCATTTTTCACTTTTCAGAAAGCGTCTATTTCTTTTCGCCAATAATATTCAAACTTCATATTTAAAGACAGATATTTATATATTTTTTCTCTCTCTGGTCTCCAACGTGTCTAACGTTTCCCGAGAACAATGCTATTGTTTAGCTGTCAATCACTTTTCTCTATGAATTTATTTTATTTCCTTAAATTTAAATAATTCTTTAAATAATAAACTTATAATTATTTTAAATTTTCCCAATAATATTTATTAATTTTTATCTATTCATTGATATAAATTTTACCATTACTCTATTTATTCTAACATATTATAATTAAATAATTTAATTACAAAAATTAATACTATTTATATAAAACAAAATATACACTTTAAATAGAAAATTAACATTGTGTTAATTTTTTACAATTTATCTTTTTAATATTTATTCAAACTTCTAATCAATTTTATACTTTTCAAGTATTAAATTTTCTCTTCTCTTTCTTAACCTTGGCCTTGAGTCAGCTGAGCCTTTTTCATATTTAGGTGTTTATCTCAGTACATTTGTACTCAATTGACCTTATTTTGAATTTCCTATACTTTTACTTTACATAGAAATTATATTTCTCATTTACAAAATTTAATTCTATTTATTTATTTTTAATTATTAAATTTTTAATTTTGACTATTGAAATACCATTTCAACTTAATACATAAGACTTAAAACTTAAGACTTAAGAACTTCTCATACCGAAGTCTCGCTATAAGACTTAAGACGTAAAAACTACAGACGGACACCGAAGTCTCGCTATAAGGGTTTTGTCACGAAACCCTAAAAAGAATATTTTTGCCACGAAACCCTAAAAAGAATATTTTTTTTATCCCACATGCACAAAAATGGCGCTTTTAGATAGCTGACGACAGGGAGTAAAGTCACTCATTTGTTCGACCATATGAAAATGGCGTCCATTTTCTCCCATGTGCAAACATAACCGCTGATCCCATGCGTTATTTTTGCCCAAGGGAGAAAACGGCCGCCATTTTCATATAAGTCGAACAAGTGACTGACTTTTATTCCCTGTCGTCTGCTATCTGAAATCGCCACTTTTGTGCATTAGGAATAAAAAATATCGTAAGTAACATGGGAATAAAGGCAGCCAATTTCTTTACGATGATTTTTGTGACACGAGTGAAGGTCTCGGGGCGCCTACGGCGCCCTTGACCTTCACTCGTGTCACAAAAATCACCGTAAACAAATGGCTGTCTTTATACCCTTGTTGCTTAATATACTATTTGCTGTGACACTACACAAGTGTATTCCCATGTATTTTTATCACTGAATTCAAATTCGAAGTCAAAATTGTCAGATTGGCTCAAAATTTTTGAGTTAATCTCAAAAAACTGCTCAAAAAATAAATTACAGCCATAAAAGAAAAATATTTTATATCCGACACACTACACTAGTGTTTTTTTAAGTATTTTTCTCCGCTAAATCCAAATTCGAAGTCAGAATTTTGAGAATGGTTTAAAATATGTTCAAGTGGACTTAAAGGGTAGTGACACCTTTGACCAGAAAAAAAATTGATTTTATTTTGTTTTGCTTAAACGATACTTTATGATGTGTAGAATAGAAATTATATCATGAGAAGTAATTTCGAAGTTATTTTATTTTAAAAAAATCAAAATCTGCAGGTGTCCAAAAGCTCTTTGAGTGCTTTTAGCGCTATCGTCTATTTTTTCTTTTATCGTAGCAGCTCAAGAATACTGAAGACAACTTCAAATTGCTCGAAAGGATGGAAATGAAGGAAATATTAATGTAGAAAGTCACTTATATAATGCAGACATCGTAGATTAACAGTGGTTTTATTTTTCATGTTTTCACATTACAAAAGTTTAAATGCGTTTTTCTCGAAATGACGTTTTCAAATCGGTGGAAAATCTGGCTCGAGCAGTTTTGATCGGATTGATTTCAGCATAAGTGTTTTTAGTTCGTCATTTACTAATGCTTTAAAGTACGTAGCGAATTTTTTGTTTGTTTTTTTTGGCAATACATTTTTTGAAAAATGTTTGCTCTAAAAATCGACTTTTTTCTCCAAACAGCTGCCAAATACACAAAAATTAATATTTTTAAAATATCCTACGTACTCTAAAGCTAAATCTATTACAGATTCAGAAAAACTTTGAATTTTTGATTTAGATCAAACGGTCTAGCCAGAATATTGTCCACCGTTTTGCCCTGCAGAAAAATGAGACCAACTTTGGCGCCCACTATAGGCAACAATTAACGAATAAAGTTCTCGAAGCCTAATTTTGTTTACTTCATTCCTGTGTCTTAAAAAAATTCATGAAAATCAGGTTAAAAAGACATCTCAAAGGTGTCAGTCCCCCAAGTTTGGGACAATTCTTTAAATTGACTAAATGATTACATTCAATTTTTAAGTGACAACCCATTGCGCATGTATATAAATTCAAAGAAGACTGGCTAATCGTGTACTGAAGAGACTGTCATGGTGTAATTAATTTTACATGGGTGTTTATTGTAAAAAAGAAAATTATAATTATTTTGTCTGGTCTACCACGAATATTTTATTCTTGAATGTTGAACTTTAAAATTCTATATCGACTTTTACTTAATTTGAAAAAAAATTTCAAAAATAATAAAATCCAAATTGTGCGCTACGCGGAGAATCACCTATATATAGAATAAGTTAGACCCTCTAGATTAAACCGCTCAGATGCATCTAGTTGCGAGGCAATCATTATAGACACAAGACTGCCCCGAAAATCTTCTACAAGGGAGAATGTTCATTTTTCATATAAAGTAGAGATAAGAGTAAATAATATTAAGTATATCTTTAAAAACATGAAAAAATTTATATCAGGTTTATAAATTTTCTAAAAGATTTTGAAAAGTTTTAAAACAATTTTTTTCTTCATAAAAGTAACATTTTTCAAGTAAAAATCATTTTTTTATAGAAAAAAGTGATTTTTAAATTTAAAAAAGTGCTTTAAAAATAATAAAATTAATAATTTTTAGCTGTCAAATTTTATATATGAATATAAAAATACATTTTCTAAGAAATTATAGATATATTTTGAAATATTTCATTTTTATGGAAAAATAGAATTTGAAAAGTGGTCAACAATTTTTTTGATCTAATTTATTATGTCCATTGAATTCCTCGCAAAAAATTTCTGTAAAAATGATTTTGTCAAAGAAGTAAACTAATCATTTCATACAGCTCAAAATTTCTTCGCAGTCCTCCCTTAAAAAAATTGTAATTTAATCTGACCAATATTGGCCTTATCTACATTAAACACATAATCTTCTGAATTTAAATAAAAGATAACGATTTACGTATAAATAAAGATTAGCAAAGATTAATTAATTCTTGAAACAGGATTTTAAGTAAATTTTCCAAGAGTTTGGAAAGGGTTTTAAATGCATGGTAGAACGAATTTTAAGCCTGTATAATTTAACACCTTTCGGCTAGGAGTTCGAACAAGTAAATGGAGAGGTTGGGCAACAAACTTTCCAGTTTTCAGCAGCTTGTCTGTCTTACTCTATTGCCAACGCCCTTCTTCTCCCTATTACATTCCATTTTCCTTTCTTCTTAAGACTCTATCAACAACAATAAACTTCAAAAAGTTATAAAAAATTTTTTTTTAATCTTCTAATCATAAATAAAGCAAATAATACCTACATTATTTTTATCTTGATTATTCAAATTATTATTAATTCCATAATTTATCCTAATTTTTATGAATTTTTCTGTTTCTGTTTCATCTGCATTGCGTTAATATTAATTAATAATTCATATCAGTTGAAAATGCTGTAATATGAAATATAACAATAATGCAATTAGTCTCGTCTGTCTAGACTATTTTTGAAATTCATTTCTAGGCGAGTGAAATTATTCTAAAGATAAATTTATCTTAATTTTGCAGGCAGTGGCTGGAGGTGGAGGAGGTCAGAGACAGGTGAATGGCGAAACAGTTCCAGGTCATAATGGATATCCAGTGCCGACGTCTTCAAGCGGACACACTGCTATAAATTTGATAAATAATAATTTAAATGGAATAAATGCACAATCAACATTTGAAGCTAAATGACCATCAAAGTAAAAAGAACAATCGAATTTTCAATTCGAAAGAATAATATGGCCAAATTGATTGGATTTTTATTCAAATTAGTTCATTACATAAAAGGACTGAAATTATATATTAACTATGAAATGTTAAAACAAGTGAATATATATATAAATAATAGGTTTTTCCCTTTATAAGAAAAATTCGTCCCCACTAATAGCGAGTGTTATAACTTGTCCTTCATATTAACTAATTATTAAAAACTTATTAAAATATTATTTCTATCGCCTGATACAAGAAACAATTCAGAATTATTACAAACAAAATTTTCAATAATTTAATCTTAACAATTGTAATTATTTTTTAGTAAAACCATTTTCTATGAATTTTTCTTGAAAAAATAATTCCAAATATAAAAATGAAACGTTAATATTTCAGATATAAATTAAAATCAAAATCCATAATATTTAATCTAAAAAGTGATAATTCTGAATTTGTCTTCGCAACTAATTTAGGAAATATTAATTATAAAAAAAATTATTTCTGAATATTTTTGAAAGCTAATGCTGCGCAAAAAATAGGTAGTTTTTAAGTAGATATACTTGCTAATAAGAATGAATTTGGTGCTCTTTATATGTAGGGAAATAAATTCTCAATATGGTTCTTAAATATTCCAATTAATATTTTACAACTCCTGCAGATATTTATTATGTATAGCTGACAACCTACATTTTTTCACCAAACCAATAATAGAAGTAAATTTAAAAAATATATTTCGAACCATATTGATAATTATAATAATACTAATAATTATATCGATTGGACACTTTTTATTCAAAATGAGGTCCTCTAATATTTTTACTTCTTGAAGCGAGACAATTATAATTTAATTTTACAATAGTATTTTGCGATTTAAAAAAAATATGTGCAATTTACATTAAAAATACAAATAGCAAAAAAGTAAAAATACTTCCTCCATGAGAAAGCAATAGAATAAAAACCGTCGTATAAAATTTTAATTAAAAAATCGTAAAATACTACAGGAAATTTTAAATAATTCATCTTTCAATGATGAAATAATAATCAATAAAATAATTATTTTAATGGTAAAAAAGTTGCAATTGTTATCATAAGTAAAATTTTAATCGACTCTGTTATTTGCTTTTTTGTTGAAGAAAGCAAAGTTTTACGAAGCAATTTTTCAGAAAAAAGTAACTTTAATTATTTATATAGGTATATATTTTTTTTTATAAATACAGCAGGGATTTTTTTCTGTAAACTACAACTTATACAGAAGCCTGAAGCGATATTTGTATAAGATTTTCGAACAGTTTGTTTCTCTGATGAAATAGGAAACCTTCAAAGTTAGACAAGAGGGGTCAAGGGAAAGAGAAGGCGGTGGGGTATGAAGTGGTTTGCGAAAGGAGTTTAGGGCAAATTTTCAGATAGATCGAATCGCCATTGCATAGTCCATGCCAGTTTTACCCTGGGGGCACATACGTTAGGGGGTGACTTAAGCATTGTTTCAACTTCGAATCTCAGCGCCAAGGCCTCAGATTGATGTCGCGAACTTTTGCGCTGCTACCTTATTTGCGAGTCAGATAACGAGGTTGAGTTATGTCAAAAGTTTTACGAACGGCCCTATCGCGCAGCATGAAAATGCTTTATTTTCTCTTGCGATTTAACATACGTTCAAAAATTTGTCATTCCGCACAAAAAAAGAAGAAGCTATTCAAGAAATTCGAAAGAAATCCCTCAGAAGTGCTTTTCTAGATTAATTTTAAGAGGTATTTCTTGTAATAACATTATTATTGTTATTTATTCTTAGTTATTATTATTTACTATTTACTGTGTTTTTTATTTATTTATAGAAAACCAATTTTACTTATTCATTATACGCCTGAGTTATTATAATTATTTCCACAAACATGTAAATACTATAAAAAAAAGTTGTACGAAGAATATTAAAAAGTTCTTCAAACAAACTCATTTTGCCTGTAGTTAAAAATATATAAAACTGCTACCAAATGCATGTATAATAATCTGTGGCTCAAAATAAAAAATACTTTTAAAATTATAAAACACTGCATCGAAAAGCATATTTTCAGTATTACAGAAATTTTATTTTAACACATTTTTTGTCATTACGGTATCCCTCTCCGATTATGAGAATTTTTTTTAATGATCCGTAAATTAAATAATTTTTTATAACAAACAAAAATGTAAAAGTAAACAAAAAATAAAGAATCCTTTAGATTTGAAAATATTTCTGCTTTAGATATGCGTTCTCTACATCAAAAGCAAATTAAAATTCAAGATAGTAAAATGCGGAAATTTTTTTTCTTAATTTTAAAAATCTAATCTTGACTTCTATTTGAAAATATAATAAATACAGACTATTTTTTCAATGATAATATAATATTCTTAGGGCCAGTTTCACCAATTCCGATTAAAAGTTAATCAATGATTAAATCCTAAATCAACCAATCATGAACCGTTAAAATGGCTTTAAATAATTGATTAACTATTAATTGAGGTTTGTGGAATTAGCCCTTAATGTAACATATAATTCTTAAAATAATTAAATAATTTTTAATTTAAAAATTATTTTTTATGAATATTGCACAATATTTATGATATTTAAAAACTTTAATTTCTAGTTTCGAATTATTTTATTCCAACTATAAGAATTAAATGAAACTATTTCTTTTGTTTATTAATTTTTATGTTCATTCATTTATCAGGAACCAAGTTAACATTATTAAATTTTAATTAATGATGTTACTAATATTGCCATATTACTGAATCACATTTTTTTGGTCCTGTTTATAAAGAGGATTATTCCGAAAATAGCGCATTTGGTTGGAAATAAAATTGCATATAAAAAATTTTGCAATTTTTTATTTCGTATATTATACCTATGTAAAAAATTATATACATCTTATATCAAGCGAAATAATTATTTTAACAACGAACAATACCATATTCAATATTGTATTTGTAAAGAATCTGTTCTTCTAGATTTGTCACATTTTTTTATTACAACGTTTACTAACATATTCGATCAAGATATATTTTTAAATTAAGAATTCAATCTCGACACATATTTTAAAATACTTCAATGTAATTCTATTTTAAATTTAATACGGCGTGCTCTATACTTAAAAATAAAAATAATTTTTTTCTATGAATATTTACAACCCAGAATATAATTTCTTATTTCAAAAATGTAATATACTTGCAAATATAGAAATAAATTACATTATAGAAGTATATAAAAAAATGTCACAAGATAGTAGTTTCGAATATTTTTTTCAATAATATATTTTTTGCTTATACGATTGAATAAATTTTTTTAAATTATATGTTATTTTTAGATATCCAATAGAGCAGAAAACTTCTTTTTGTACAAAAATGATTTTCAAGAATTTTTAATAATTTGTAAGAAAAATAATAATTGTAACAAAACCAAAGAAGTAATACTCAATAGAAATTATAGCCGAATATGCAGCAGCAACAAACATTAAATGCTAATGTAACCAAAAAAAAATTCAAATTTATCAAAAATTCATTATGTAGGTATTTAAATATTGTTATTAAAAATAGAAATTTTGTTTCACATTTCGATGAATTTTCATGGAAATAAAAACTAATAATAGTTATAAAAAAGAGATACTTAAAATTATATTTTATTCTAAAAATAAAAAGTTCTGTTGTCCAATAACAAAAAGCACTTCGAAATGTACGATAACATTCTGTTTTATATTGTAATTTCTGATATAAAATTATTCAAATAAAAACCTATTGTTTTCATGTTATACTTAAAATGTTTTTTATCAATTTACATTAAATATAACCTTCAGATATTTAATTTTTTCTTCCTACAAAATAAAAAGCGAAGAAATATAATATTGTTTAGAATATTTTTTCATCCATACTTATTCATTTTAATTATTAATATCAGTAATTTGCAATTATTAATATTAATTAAAAATCATCTAATTAAGTTTCTTCTTTCAGTTAATACTATCCTCAGACAAATTGCACGGAAAAAAATTTTTACTGTGGGGAACAGCTAATTTCAAAAATAAATAACATAAAGAATCTATTCAACTAATTCAATGAATGATTTCCAATGCAGTAGTCAGACTGTTTCTCTGATATAGAGAAAATGAATTTCACTGGTCAGCCATATTGGAAATATTTGACAGTTTACCATTCTCATAGAAATTTCTCTAAAATCACAAATGTCAAATTTACATTTCTTACCTCTAAATACGTATTAATTTACTAATTTTACATTTTATTAGTTATAATATAAAAAATATAATTAATAGAATTTGAATATACGCTTTGAACATTAATTTAAAAATGTTTTCATTCAAGTGTTATTTTGAGGATATGTTGTTTTTAAAAGGTAACGCAAGAAATATCATTTTCGCTAGATCAGCGAAAATGGAGTATCGATGGAGCCAAATCAGTGAAACTTATAGCTATTATAGTGATTTTTATCTCTACTTTAGTAGAACTTTTTTTAGCGTGTGGCTTAGAAAAATATTTATCTAAAATTTGAATACCAAACCAATTTTCTAGTAATTCATTAGAAAATAAAAAACTTGAATTTTAAAGATAATGCTAAAAATATTTTATAAGAATATTTGATATGGACTATGTAAGAAATGAGAATAAGAGAATATTGAGGGGTATATCTTTTATTCTTTTTTGTAGTGCTTTTTGTCTCGAAAATATACATGGTGTTCGCTAAAATATTTAAAGCTAATACGTGATTGGTTGCGAAACTTAATAATTTACCAATCATACGCGGTCTTTTGTGTTTTATATGGAGCTTTTCGAATAAATCGCATTGTGTATTCAAGAGAGCAAAATCCAACTCTTGGAGGGTGCGAATACCGAATCATCTACACATTGCAAAAAGCAAACCGAGAAAGAGCCAATTCTAATTCGCACGAATTGACTCGAAATTCAGCTGAACATTGTAAATTTATGACAATAGACCAAATTACTTCGTTCCAACTTCTTATAAGTTTCTATATCGAATATGTTCTACTTATATATGAAATCATATCGGATTTTTGGGTAAATGAATTTTTTAAATTAATGGATTTCAATAAAGCTTGGTATCTATAGAGGATATTGGGATCGCTTATTATGAATCTGAAGTCAAATTTAAAAAATTTTAAATATTTATCACTAAGAAGAGTAAAACTGATTCGTATTCAGAGCATCAGGTACTTCGGTCCAAAAAATGACACTCTTTTCTTTTTTTTGTGCAGCTGTGTAATCATTAATAACTAAAAATTTGAATAAAATATTGATAAAAGAATTAAATATTGCAGCACATTGATCAGAAATTGGTTAAAAACTTTAATTAATTTTAGACTCTATCTTCAAATGAATTCATCATCCGTAGCAGCAAAACCCGAAATTCACGTTCCCAACTTGATGACATCAACAGACGGAAACCTGGAACGTGATATTTTCAATCGCTGTAATAATTTAATAAGTCCTCCTACACGATTGCAATTAACGAACTAATCAGTAAATAAAATCGACTCCAGAAACTTTAGATGTAGACAATCGAAGTTGAAGAAGTCGATTGTAAAAATTAACTATAATTAGGGTAAGTCTGGAGGAGATGGCCATACAGGAGAGATGGCCAATTCCAATATTTTACAGAATTCGTAAAGAATATCGCTTAATATGGGTTATTCTTCAACCTTTTGTGACTAAAAGTTAATGTAAATGTGGATAGTGATGGGACATAGAAAGAAAAACAGCGATGTTGTGATGAAACATCTATATCGATAATTTATAACATCGATGTCATCGATGTATCGAAAAGAAATCATCGATGTTTCGATGTTTTTTCACACTTCCACACTTCATTTCAAAAAATATATTTATAAAATTATAATAATAACACTTAAAGATTGAAGCTATCACTCGGCTTTTAATAATAGAGTTGAAGTTATCGATCACCCCGAGTCAGGTTAAACAAAATATAACAATATTATATTTTTAACGTTTCAACGGCGCAGCCGCCCTCGTTAAAAATATAATATAATATAATATAATATAATATAATATAATATAATATAATATAATATAATATAATATAATATAATATAATATAATATAATATAATATAATATAATATAATATAATATAATATAATATAATATAATATAATATAATATAATATAATATAATATAATATAATATAATATAATATAATATAATATAATATAATATAATATAATATTGTTATATTTTGTTTAACCTGACTCGGGGTGATCGATAACTTCAACTCTATTATTATAATAATAACATTTGAAGTAGATTTAAAAAAAATTTAGGATAAAATGGTAATTTTTAAAAGCGCAATTTCCAGCTTGCAATAGAAAACTAATTATGAAATATATAAATCAATGAAAATTAAATTCTGCCAGTTGAATAATATAAATTAATATATTAAGACAGATATAGCATTTTATAATTGTTTAGCACTTTAGGATAATTCAGATTTTGGGCAAGTTAAAACCTATGATACTGACTGGTTTTAATAACAATTTAGGGAAAAATGAGGCAAAAGTGCTAAAGAGGGGCTTTAATCAACAACAACAAAATTTAAAGATTTACAAAGCGATAAGAGCAATTGTTTAAAAGATAAAAAATCACAAATTGTTAGAGGCAAAAAATAAAAAAAATATTTTTAAAAACCCTCTTTTCCCCACTTAATTTACATCGATTTCAAACATCGGAAAAAAAACCTCGATACATCGAAAACATCGACCTCGAAGGAAAAACATCGATGTTTCAATTTTTCCGATGTCGTTGTCCCATTACTAAATGTGGGTGAAGTCCTTCATAATTTTTTTGCATGGTTCTAAAAAAATTGAGAAATTGAGATTTTTTATTTTTCTATTGTTATTTTTTAAGATAATTTTTAATTTCTTGTTATATTGAGTAGTAGGAAAGCGTAGGGTAATGGGAGCTTTTGAATATCACGTACTTAGAAGCCTTAAAATTCGCTGCAGTGTCTAGAAAATCTTCTACAACCTTTGTTTATATCATTCCAAAACAAACGATCACATTCTTGACAAATTTTTAGAAAAGACAAGGGAAAATGTTTTTTTTGAGTTTTCGTTGTAAAAGTAAAATATTTCTAAACATCACCATAAGCAGTTAAAATCGTATTAAATAGTTATGTTTATTCATTATATTATAGGTGAATATGTGTAGATATGTGGCGCATTTCATTTAAATGGTAAAATATAGTCTGCAGGATAGTTAAAATGTGAATTTTCGATTTTGTATTTGTAATCTAGTTTTCTATATTATTTAATGTTCTAAAAAATCGAAAGAGATAGTGGTTATAACATTAGACGTAAATATTTTTTTTAATGGCAGACAGCTTTTTGTCAGAATATGATCACTATTGTTTGGTTTTCGTTCAACTTTATTTTTTTAAATAAATTATTTTTTTTCGTGTAAATGTTAAGATGCGTTTATATAAATAAATATTAATTCTATTGCGTGGACAACAAACTTTTTTTGTTTTTATACAAAAAATGAGAGAAGATTGGTTAAGGTACTTCGGGACAGTAGGGGACATTTGAAAAAGAAACAGTATATAAAAAAGAACAAATATTATATTAACAATATCTATACTATATTCATATAAATAACTTCTTATCATATAAAACCAAGTTCCTGTTTTTTATACATTGAATTTAAAAACTCTTACCCACATAATAAGAATAAAGCTATTATACGGGACAGTAGGATACATTTAATATACGGGGACAGTATGGTACATTTTGCTCTTTTCTTGATTCAAAACATAAGTATGTTATTTAGAAAGCAATGGAAACTGTCAGATTTCTTAAAGAATTAAAACTTTTTGCTAATAATTGACTTATAGGAGATATAAAGTATTTAGTTACCATTTTACAGACGGGACAGTAGTGGACAACTATTTACAACCGTTAATCAATTATTTTGCTGCTCCACTATATAATTTGTAGGATAGAGACACATTTTAATTGCTTTGATGTTTTGAGGTTATTCATTTATTATTGTAACATCGGTAAAACAGTGAGTGTAAGCGCGTAACCTATTCGTAGTGAGTGTGCAAAAATAAATTCATTTTGGCAGAATATAAAATATGAAAATAAGTGACATGTTTTTAACCCTCCTGCGTACCGTGACGAGTATACTCGTCCAAACTAAGTTGTTACCAAATGCGCAAGGACGAGTATACTCGTCCAAATATTTCTTCTCATAACTTTTAAAAAAATTAACTTTAACACACGAGACAAAGTGCAACTTACAGTGCAAGGTTCATAGTTAATGATAAATACATAATAAAGTCTCTAATTAAAGTATTTGTTAATAAACAAAGTATTAAATATTTGTTATAAACAGTATAGGATCCCTACTGAAAAAACCTACGTAGTATTCATAGTGGTATCTTACGTTGAAACCAACGACGTAACCTACGTCATTATGGGCGTAGAAGTGTACGTCGAATACGACACCGGATTCAACGTAGTAACCTACGTCGTATCCTACATCGGAATTTGGGACCGTAAACTACTTCGGATCCTACGTCGGATCCTACGTCGTACCATGATATATATATTTTTTTTAATTTTTCTAATATAATTATATTTTTCTGTTAATCAGTGACTGTGTAGAAATTTGTTTAGTAATTATTTTGGTCCCCTTTTTCATAAGAAAATTCTGCTTTTCACATTTTTAAAGAATAAAAATGTAGTGTATTTTATACTACTTACAAATTACTTAAGTAGAAATACCTATTGAAAATTAAAAATTTAAGTATTTTTTCTGACTCTAATAGTAACTATTAGAAAACATCGTGATTTGTAGTCTTAATTGAAAGGTAAGTACGTAATTAAATTAATTTTCATAACGCGGTGCAAAAAAGGGCACTTTTTTGCACCTTGTTATAAAAAATATCGTTCGTAACTAGTGCTAGCAGTTGCCAATTTTTGAACGAGCACTTTTTTTGGAACAAACTGTAGGCGAAGCTTCGCTTCGCCTACAGTTTGTTCCAAAAAAAGAGCTCATTCAAAAATTGACAACTTCTCGCACTCGTTACGAAATATACTATTTTATTTTCACAAGCAGATTCATTTCTATTCATGCTTTTGTTTTCCATGTCATTTTATACATTAGTGTATCCCAGTCTACAAAATGTCATAAAATTTTTTTAAAAGGTTAAAGATTAATTGCAATCGTATTCAAAGTGTAACATTTTTATTTAAAACGTATGTACAATAAATTTTTTTCACTGTCTACTGATAAATAGTTTATTACTGAAAACTCGAATTCTATCGTGTACTCGGTTTTACTCAATCAACCAAAATTTTCAAGTTCTCGAATACAATCAGGTATGCGATTCCACTTAAATACTCGTAATTTTAAAATACCTAATTAGATAGGAGTATAATAGTAGTTTACAAGATAATAATTATATTTATGTATTTATAATTCATGTTTATTAATATAGTTATAAATATTGACATTTTTTCTGCAAAATGTCAATGTAATAATAAATGCAAAATTTTAATGCTATTTTCTATTTTTAAAAGATGAATTCTTCTCTGTGGGAAAAATATATAATAGAAAATAAATTGAACAAAATTTAAATTGAATTCAATGTTAAACGTTACAGTTGCATATTGACTCTTATCGACTTCATCTAATGATTTTACAAATTGACGATATTCCTTACCATCGTAAATATCACTAACCAAACCCCTTTTATGAGATCTCTTATTAGTAACATAATCAAAATAATTTGCATTGCTCTCAATTAATTCTTTTATAGGCGTTGTGGGATCCATTGTTATAAAAAAATCTTTAACGTCACATTTTTTAACATTAACTGACGCATTACACAATTGACATCTAATAGTGCGATCTTTGTTAGGTTTAAATGTGCCTGCGTATCCATTACAACTTTTACAGATTGCATGAAAAGTTGACAAGTTCTTTGGATAAAATAATTTATCAATAAAATATTTAGTATTTGGCAGTATAGGTGTCAAAAAATACAATTAATAAGACAAAATAATTCATAAATAGCAGTTAATGACAGAGCATTAAGAAGAGCATATCTAACTATCATTATCACTATTTCACCTACTGTAGCTTTTACAGGTGTATTTACTGGAGCATGAAATTCAGGAGATGATGTCATCTCTTCCAATGTTTTATACTTTCCGGTAGACTGAACGTAGTCTTCATTAACATTGCTAGATTCTTCGTAATCAACCAAGAAATTGTCGTCCTCTTCTGGATCCTAGAAAAAATATTTTTTAAAATACGAATAGAATATGAGATTTCAATGAACGACTAAATTTTTTATATCGTTATAGCCGCAAAACAAAAGAAACACAATTTTTCACAAAATTTAAAATTTCTCGTTTTTCTGGAAAATTGTTGTCTTTTGACATTTTTTCTATAATAAAATATTTATACTTAAAACCTTTCTACTAGGAAAACTTGTTTTAACAATATTAAAATATTTATTTCCTTCGATCTAATAAGAAGTCTGTAAATTTAACGTGCATTAAAAAAAATAAGAGAGTACAACAAATAAGTAGAAATTTCTATTCCACTAAATTGATTTAATATCACTCAATATTTCACTTGACAAAAAGGTTAGGTATAGAAAACTTGACGTTAAATATTAAGCATTTGAAAATTTCTTTCATTTATTTCAATAAGAGAATGTTGTATTTTATCGTAAGCACTGTGCGTTCTTAACCATATTTTCACTAGTTTTAATGTTTCATTTCAATAATTTAGGACTGAAATCACAATGAAATTCACACGATGCGAAACATTGCTGTCACTGTTTGTCATTTTAAGACAACAACGAGAGGAGCTCAATTGAAAAGAATAAACAAATTTAAACTTATTCCAGTCATCGCTTCTTTCCGGGTAATTAGATGCAAGCTCGAAATTAATTGGTTGAATAGTTTAACCCGGTGAACGTAAGAATTTTTTTCTATAATTGTTTTATGTTGCCTAGTAATCTAATTTATTAATGTTACGACAAATTTTTTATTTCTTTAAACAATTTATTATTGCTAATTTATAATAATTCTAAAAACAAAATAGAGAAAAGCAAATTTCTATTTTAGCAGCTTTTAGTGGTATTATTTAATGTTAAATTAATAAATAAAAATAAAATATTAAATTGAATTTGCTATAGTTATTATTAAACATTGTTTAAATAATTAATTGTTGTTATTTATTAACATTTTTTCTATTGCATCTAGAAAGATACAGTCTTTTTCTAAATTTTGCAATTTTCAGACTTACTTAAATAATAACCGATATAATTGTTAAATATCAAATCACTATTTTAACAATTATTTAAATAAATAATTGTTGTTAATTATTAGCTTTTTTCTATTACACCTACACGGAAAAAAAAAGTACGTGAATCCTTCCTTGAAAGTGCTTGAATTTTGGATAGGACACAAAATACAAGGCTGTTCCATATACTTTTTATTAGAAAATATAGAAAAGTCCTAGAATTATTCTAGTACTAGTATGGGCAACAGTGTTTTTTAAATTTTAACGAAAAGTCATTTGTTCAGTTTTATAAAGTACGTGAAAGATTAATTGACTGCGCTTGAAAATTCTGTAGAGCATGCGCAGTGTGCGTTGCGCGTTTCTACCCAAGGTAAATGCCAGCTGATCGTCTGTTTCCGTTTGTGTTAATTTCAGATGTGAATATACTATTATTTTATGAAAAACAAATAGTGTTAATATATATTTGTCTTCAAGAATTGACTTTCAAAAAAATATTTTTTGTTTTGTGTTTCTCACAAAACAGAATGTTATGTAAGTCTCAGTTTTCAGTGAAATAGCATGTCTCAGAAGTCGTGAAAAATTTCACCATGTGGTATATAAGAACAATTCGATACGTACTTTTAAGTGTTAAGTGTGTGCTTATATTTAAGTTATACGCGAATATATGTGTGTGTTACAGGTTAGTTCATAAGTGTTGACGAACGTCGAAAAGTGATACAATAATTGTTCTTTGTTTGTGTGATTAATTATCCAAATATGTGAATGAATGAGTGAATTTCAGAAAAACGGTGTGAACAAGTGGAAATTATTTTTTTTATTTTACAGTTTTTTTGAAAGTCAATGAAATTCTCAAGCAAGGTACTAGAAATTTTCATTGACTGCTTTTGAAACTCTCATGCAAAAGTACTAGACTGTTTTTAGTATTTTGTGTCGTATCCAAAAGTCAAGTACCGAGTCAATGAAAAATTCACGTACTTTTTTTTTCCGTGTAGAAAGATGCAGTTTGTTCTAATTTTTAATTTTTATACCTACTTATAAAAACCAAAGAATGTTAAGAGACAAATCGCTATTTTAGAAATTGTTTAAACAAATAATTATGCAATAGAAAAACAGTTAACAAATATCAATTATTTATTTTAAAAATTTGCTAAAATAGCAATTTAAAATTTTATATTTATTGGTTACTATAAGGAGGTCAAAAAATTGCAAAATTAGAAAAAAAATTGCACCCTTCTAGGTGTAATAAAAAAAATTAATAAATAACAATTATTTGTTTGAACAATTGTTTAAACAGCGATTTCACATTAAAAATTTATATAACTACATAAGTCCAAAAAAGGAAAAAATTAGAAAAAAATGCGTCTTTCTATATCTAACAGAAAAAATGTTAATAAATAATAACAATTATTAGTCCAGGTTTGTCCTTACAGTCAAGGTCGGACCATGTTTGAAATTCGAAGGGCATTACCGTTAAAAAATAAAATATCATTTTTAGCGTTACGAAAAATGTATTCTTTATTGTTTACAACTTGTAAAAAGTTGCAAATACAAAAAAAGTAAAACGTTATTGTTACAAAAAACTAACTTCATGAAATAATTAACAAAATTTATAGGATTTAATATTATTTTTCTAATATCTTTGGCAAAATGTGTGAGTATGTGTGTATACCAATGTTTTTTGTATATTTATTAAAAAAGTATCTGTCAAATTCATGTAGTATAAATGGTGGTTCAACCTTGACAAAATGCACCATTGTCGAATTGTTCTAACCAAAAAGAGATACGTTTCTGGATTCGCTTTTTCAATAATTTAGCTAAAAGAAACTGTATGTTTTGCAATTTCTTTTAAAATGCTAGATTAAAAAATATTATTTATTTAAATTAATACTATTGCAAATCTGCCAAATTCATTTAAACAGCACGTTGTACTTTAACATTAACCCCTTAGCAGTGTAGTCAAAATAAGCTTTCCGTGCCACAAATGTGCAAAAAAAAATTTTTTTTTAATTACTTGATATTATTATATTTTATGTTTTCGGGGTCGCTGAATCCGAATATTTGATCAAAATTTAAAAATTCAAAATGGCGGCTTAAAAAATTTAAAAGTTTCCGTATTTGACTAAAAATACTCACTTGGGGGTTTTGGGGGTCGCTGATTTCGAATATTTGGTTAAAATTTAAAAATTCAAAATGGCGGCTTTAAAAATTTTAAAGTTTCCTGATTTGACTTAAAATGCTCACTTGGGGGGTTTTTAGGGTCGCTGATTTCGAATATCTGGTTAAAATTTTTAAATTCAAAATGGCGGCTTCAAAATGTCGACCGAAAAAATTTTAAAGTTTTCGGATTTGGCTAAAAAAAGTGCATATTGGGTTAAAATTTTATAATTCGAAATGGCGACTTTAAGATGTCAACTAAAAATTTAAAAGTTTACGAATGTGGTTATAAATAGTTATTTGAGTCTTTTGGGGTTTATATTTTTATATATGTATAATATATTTTACATATATTATATTTATATATATTTTCACAAACTATTTAAAACACCGCTCTTAGTCGTATCCGGAGTTACGACCTATTTAATTTAATTACTATTATTAAATTTTTTAATATAGATCGATTTTGAGTAGTTCACAATGTTTTAAAACATCGGACATATTAATTCCTCTGCTTTAAGTTTCAAGAACTAATTTGAGAACTTTAAATTTTTTTGGTCGCCATTTTGGATTACTAATTTTTAATTACTATTATTAAATTTTTTAATATTGATCGATTTTGAGTAGTTCACAATGTTTTAAAACATCGGACATATTAATTCCTCTGCTTTAAGTTTCAAGAACTAATTTGAGAACTTTAAATTTTTTTGGTCGCCATTTTGGAGATGCCATTTTGAATTTTGAATTTTTGATTAAATATTTGGATTTAGAGACCTCAAAAACCCCCGAATGAGCATTTTCAGCCAAATTCGTAAACTTAAAAAAATTTTTGGTCGCCATTTTGAAGCCGACATTTTGAATTTAAAAATTTTAACCAAATATTCGAATTCAGCGACCCCAAAAACCCCCAAGTAAACATTTTTAGTCAAATCCGTGAACTTTTAAATTTTTTTGGTCGCCATTTTTAATTTTAAATTTTTGACTAAATATTTGGATTTAGAGACCTCAAAAACCCTTGAATGAGCATTTTCAGCTAAATTCGTAAACTTAAAAAAAATTTTGGTCGCCATTTTAAAGCCGCCATTTTCAATTTAAAATTTTCAATAACGGATTTAAATTCAGCGACCCCGAAAACCCCCGAGTAGGCATTTTTAGCAAGATTCGTTAACTTTTATATATCTTTTTTTTCGATACCGCTATAGCGGTCATACACACTGGGGGCACGAATTATTTTGGCCTCTATAGACGTCAAACACTGTGAAGGGGTTAATAAAACGTAATTTTTTTAGATTGAAAAAGTATTGTCAATAGATTTGTTATTTGGCTACGATTAAACTGATCTCAAATAATTGTTCAAAATTATTATCAAAGTCTTAATTTAAGATTAAGCGTACTTTTATCTATTTATTTTGAAAGATATTATTCATATAGCTCTAAATAATTTATTGTTCATTAATGGGCATTAAAACTATCATAACTGTCAAGGAAAGTAAAGATTAGTTTCTGCATAAATTCAATTTTTAATTCCACGCAGTAATCAGTGCTATGAGAAAAGTCTAAGTGCTTTCAAGTTTTCTTCGTGTTGTAACAAAATTTTCTTGAATCTTTTCAATGTTAAATTTGCATGTTTAAGGTTGATGTCAAGATTAGATGTGTAGTTTCTTTCATATAATGCACTGAGAGAAAAGATGGAACACTATGGTACATTTGGAGGTTGTGTATGGCAATATAATTTTGGTTCTACTTATTTCTCTAAGGAGCGTGTAACGCGCCCCTGAAAGCGCACTGCTGACTTTTTCGAGAGCGTACTGTTGACTTGATTTGTAGGACCGCGGGAAAAGAGTCAGCACCGCGCCCTCGGGGGCGCGTTACAAGCCCCTTTTAGTGTACGCAGTTGAACCAACCTTGCATTGGCATACACAACCTCCAAATGTATTGCAATGTTCCCTCTTTTCTCTCAATGTGGGTTCTGTGTGTTTTTTTGATAGAAAAGTCTTCGTAGGGTTGAAGTGCTGGTCTATGCATTTCTTAACAAAAAAATTATTTTTTCCAGTAACCAAATTTATAAAAAGAAATAGCAATTGTTAATATTACCTCAGTGAGTTGATTATTAGGAATTTCATTGTCTGAATCATCTTCAATATCCTCATTCAATTCTTCCATCACAGAATAAATGTTTTGTATTAATTCTTGCGTTAAAATGGAGTTTGGATCTAATGTCTGCAAACATTTTTTTCAACGTTTATTATTATGTTATATAAATCTTTCTTATATAAAAAATAATTACATTTTTTGATTCGCAATAATTCTAACTGTAATTTACTCTAAAATATTACAGAACATGTCTAAAAATAAAATCATTTTCTTACCATAGCTGGACTATTTAAGTCATTTTCTTCATATTGAAAAACGTCAATTAGTTCTTCTTCAACATTCGGAAGAAGTCCAATATCGTGATCTTCAGTTGGTAAAACTCCACTAGTATTATACTCCATTTCAAGTCTATTCGATTCTTGCTGAGAATTTTGAACTTGTGAATTATTCTCATCATTAATATCCATGGACTCCACTACATTAGACGGTGATTGGTTCACTTCTTGTACCTGCCACAGATAAAAAAAATTAATAAAATTTAGGATCGATCAACCAATTTTCTCTAATGTAAAGAATATTGTCAAAATAATAATTAAGACATTTTTTTATAGTTTCATCTCACTCCTTTCATGAAAGGCGAAAAAACAAATTTCATCTATTTGCTCTTTCTGCATGACTAAATATAATCTTATTACCCAACATTGTTACAATATGATTTGTAGTATGTACTTTAAAATTTTTTATGTTATGTCTAAAGCATCGTACTTGAAAACGCGCCATGAGCAAAACGTACTATTGTCTGTATATATATAAATAATAGGTAAATCCACAGAATTAATTTTATTTTACATTAAAACTTGCTACAGAAAGTGTTACATCAATTTGTCAAAAAATTAAAAAATTTGAATTTTTTTATTTTTGTGAAAAAAGTTATAACTTTTGTTCCTCTTAATATTTTTTAATCGGATATGACTAAGATTTTAAGTTAGACTAATACCTAAAAGACTGCTAAGTTTCGTTTTAATCGATCCAACAGTTTTTGAGTTATTACCGGACAAAATATTGCGAACATAAATACATACATATAAACATGCATACATAATTTTTTTTATTGTTATTATTGGAATTCTTACTACTCGAATAGTAAAACTAAACATGAATTTACAAATTCCAAGCAATGTACAGACAAAAGTCTGATTTTATTTATATAGATATAATGTCAAAAATTAAAAATCAATTTTCTTACTTGCTTCTTAAGTTTTTGTTGATAGCGGTACCATGTTGATTTCGGAATATCCGTTTGTGATCCATGTTGAAGGTATTCCTTATAAGTCTCCGGTCTTTCATGACGTTTCTAGTAAAAAAAAATTTTTCATGTACACTACCGTCGGAAATTAATGATACGGCTACACACGCAGGGCCCAAAAACATACCAATCTTTAAATTAGAGTTTTTTGTAAGGGGCCAAATACATAATACGTCAAGCGATTTTTGACCATTTTTAACCCTTTGAGGACCAGTGTTGCTTTCAGGCAACATGAACATTTTTTTATTAACTCGTGCATAAATTTATTAATTTTCAAAACTGAATATTGAAACAATAATTTTCGCATAGTTTGAAAAATTTCGTATGACAGGCACTGGTCTCCAAATAAAAAACTTCAATAACTGTCCCCAAAAGTTTGTTTAAAAATCAAAAATCGCGATTTTTTAAGAAAAGGTATGTTTTCGTTGCCTGCACTAAGTGTAACTTTAACACCACCTCAACACTGAGAAAAATGGAGTATTCAACTAACTATCTGGAGGGACAAACAGACTATATTTGAGGTTCAGTTTTTCATAACAATCTCGGAGGGATAAATAGACACTCCGATGATTAATTTGACTCACTCGGAGGGAAAAGTTAACTATCCAGAGAATCAGGCTTAACACTCAAAACCTAACCCTCTAAATTTGACTATCCAGTTTTCTGAAGAAAAGTCCAGAATAGAGTCGAAGTCGGTATGAACGCGCTGATATAACGCGCTCCTCCTATGTATTCCATATGGACGAGCGCGTTACTATCAGCGCGTTCGTCTCTATTCTGGACTCTCCTTCAGTGAAGAGTAGGTGCAGAAAGTGTAGCGAATTGTATGGTAAAATTACGTCACATCCGGTAAAGAGAACAACATAGTGCAGGTTAGGTGTTAAAGTGTAAGAAGAGCAGGCAACGAAAACATACACGGAGAAACTTTTTCTTCTAATATTAAATATATTTGGTTATCTTTATTCTAAAAGTACGTTAGAATGTGAGGATTTTTCGTGCGTTGTGCTAATAATTTCAACATTAATACGAAAATATGATAAGTTCGTTATATATTAAGCAACCTTCGGTGTACAAGAATTACTAATCTGCATTAGAAATAGTCTTATTTTTCTTTAGAAAAGAATAAAATGCTAGTTTTTGTTTGTGAAATAATACGGTAATTCTAACCTTTTTTACACATATAAATAGAATATATAGGATTTAACATGCCATACGAAAATTGTACCGGCTACAGAGTCACATGTGCGATGTTGATTATTATATTTTATTAAATATTATAAAATTATTTAAAATAATTTGTTGAAGTGGTCGAAAATGTCGACAAATAAAAAATTAAAGTTTACACATGCTTCGATAAATTTTATTAATGGAGATGTAAAAATTATCCCAGTCAAAGACATAGAGGATTTTAATCCCAAAAATGAATTTGATTTTGACAAAAAAAAAGTTTATTCATTATATGGAGAATGCGGAGAGTCTGTACCAATTTATGTAAATCGTTTGGGAAGTAAGTATACTTTTCGCGAAAATAAAATGGCGTATTTTTAGAAATTTTTTTTTTTTTGGTTCAATGAAATGGTCAATTTAACATCTGTAAAGTACGTTTCATTACATAATTATTGATATGCAAAAAATATTTTTCTTTTTAAATTTTATTACAAAATGTCGACTATGCCATTTATATTGGAATTATATTGGAAGGCGTCTTTTTTTAGGGCCACATGGCCGGACAACTAACATCCTTAATTTTTATCTGGAAAAAATCCAAACTGTAATTTTCTACAAGTTTAGGGTTGCCATAAAAATTTAACTTTATTTAATTTAACTTTATTTAATTTAACTTTAATTAATATCTAGACAGAATTTTAATTTTCTCCATAACCCTAAAGAATATTCTGATTTACTTTAAAAATGATTAGGTACCTACTGAGAAAAATATTTTAATACATTTAATTATGAATTTCTTTAATTTTAAAATTACGCCAAAACAACAATAACAATACAATAATAAATAAATACTTCTTCGAAATTATTTTCATCATTTAAATTCAATTATTTATATAAAAATCCATGCTAAATGTATTATGTTAAAGAATTTTTTTTAAATAGTTGAATATTTTTTCAAGAATTTTATTAGAATTTTTAAAAATAATTGAATTCATGCGAAGAATAAAATTATACTAAACTTTGTTTAAATAACTGAAATTCTGTCAAGAATGTTATTAAAAATTTTGATAATAATTTAATTCTTCACGAGAATGTTTTAAAATTGAATTCTTGTTACGAATTTTGTTATCAAAATAATTGAATTTTGAAACAGAATTTTATTAAAATTTCTTAAAATAATTGTTTTTATGAGAAGAATTATGTTGTTTACCAAAAGATAATTCAATTCTTTTGCAGAGTTACTTAAAATTTTTTGAAAATATTTGATTTTCTGAGACGAATTAAAAGTCATTAATGAAAATAATTAAATTCTTGCAACAAATTTGATTATTTTATTGAATTTCAATGTTTCTTAAAATTGCATTTTTGAGGAATTTATTTTAAATTGTATTAAAAACATATGAGGGTTTGATAGAAGAAGTGGTTTAAAAAAATTGGAAGCAAAAGTGGGATAAGTGACTTGGGAACAAAAACGGGTTAAAATAATATTGTAATTTATAAATAAATTAATTATAATTCATGATAAAAAAATATTTAAAATAGTAAAAAAAAGACTTATTTTATTATTATAATTAATATTTTGCAAATCATTATTATGATAAACTTATCCATAAATTATACAAAATCATTTTAACTTGTTTTTGCTCCCAAATCACTTATCCCACTTTTGCTTTCCATGCTTCTTTTAAACCACTTTTACTATTAGCCCCTTATATGAAATTCTGCGATAAAAATAATTTAATTTCATAAATGAAATTTTATTATTGATAAAAAAATAATTAAATGTTTTCGTAGAATTGTACCAAATTTTTTTTAATAATAATATTACATTATTTGATAAATTTTATGGAAATAGTAAATATTAAAAATCCTTAAATTCTGATCAACTTTTGAAAATAATTGAAATTTTGCAAAGAATTTTATTTAAATTTTTGAAGGTAATTGAATTTTTGTAGAAAAATTTTGCTATTTATAAAGATAATTGAATTCTTTACGAGGTATTCGTTGAAATTTGTCAAAATAATTAAATATATCTTTAAAATTTTTTATTATTTTTGAAGATAAATTAATTCTTGTGATGAATACACAGACAGACAAAATAAAAAAGTGTTTTGTCCGAGACACTACTTCCCATGTATTTTTTCCTGCTGAATCCGAAGTCAGAATGATCAAATTGGTTCTTTTTTTGAGTTATGACTCAAAAAACGAATTTGAACAAAAAACAAAAATTTTTATGAAACAACAATAGTATATTTCCATGTATTTTTTCTCGTTGAATCCGAATTCGAAGTCAGAATTGACAGATGTGCTCAAAATTTGAGCTAAACTCAAAAACCCTAAAAAAGACGCCTTTCAATAAAATGCTGCACCGTCTATATAGATTAAAAAAAATTATTTCATAAATTTTAGAATTAATTTTAGTTGTCATTTAATAAAAAAACATTTCTGGAATATAATAATAATAATTGAAGCGTTTTGTGCAGAAACCGCATAAGTCCATTTTTTTCGAAAATCACTTTTTTATTGAAAATTTATCTTTAAATGAAGCTTTTCAATCTGGTAAAATATTACATAAGTGACTAAACTCTAAACCCTTAAAAAAAAATAATTAAAATATCATTTTGTGCAGAAACAGCACAAGTCCATGATAAGTTTTATATTTATTTGTGATATTCTTGACGTATTTTAATAATTTATATTAAACAGTTTATATTATAAATAAAAACACTCATGGGAAGCAAAAAGTGACAGTGCTGACTAAATTATTTTAAAATTAGAAAATATTGAAAATTGGTTAAATCTATTCTTAAAACAAATTTATTATTTATAAAATGTTACTAAGAATTATCCAAATTTGATATTTTAAATAAATCTTATTAAATATTTCATAAAACTTTGATATTTCACTGGATTTCATAAATTTTCTGTGTTTTTCATTTCATTTTGTGCAGAAACAGCATAAGTCCAAATGTTAATTTACTTTTTAATTTTTTATATTAAGTAGATAATTAATTAATCATATTGGATTTTTTAACTTATAGGTTAGTAGAATATAATGCAAAAAGCCGAAATATAAAAAAAATCTTAACATTTACGAGAAAAACAGTTTTTCTTGATTCCTGAACAATTTCGAATTATGGACTTATGCTGTTTCTGCACAAAACGCTTCAATTATAATTTGGAATATAATATTCACAAAATAGGAGATAATAAATTTACATGTTAAATAAAGAATTTATAGATAATGGGGATTTTGTTTAAATTAACTAAATGTATTGCTATAGGGCCATTCAAGTATTACGTAAGCATATTTTTCAGGTTTCTAAACCCCCCCCCCCCATGTAAGATTTTTTATATGCATTAGCGCCATTTTTTCTTATGGAAATAAGCAATAGCTAGACCCCCCTCCCCCTTAAATTCTTACGTAATACTTGAATGGTCCCTATACAGTTTCTTAAAGCAAAGATTAATAATTAAAACTCTTATTAGTTAATTTAACTACATTTTTTTACTTCTAAAAATTATATTATTGTATTATTATTAGAGCTGTGCAAAATAATTCTAACCGAACTGTTCGAATTTTTTCGCCTAGTTCGAATGTCAAAAATTCGACATTCGAGTTAGCTTAGTTCGAATGTCGAATATTTGACATTCGACATTTCGGCACCCCAAAACCAAACAAAACTCGGTTGTTCGAATTTTGCACAGCTCTAATTATTATTCAATAATTATAATTATTAAGCTTCTCTTAAAGTGTAATTTTAAATTAAAATTTCTGAATTTTAAATTTATTTCTTAATCAAATTAAATTTTTATTACTTATTAATTTTTTGTTAGAACCCTGTCAGCATTTCACCTCACTTCATAAACCAGGCTGACCATACTTGAAGGGTACCGTAAACTGGGGCTATTAGGAACACCGGGGCTATTTAGAAACAAAATTCTGTTTTCGGGAGGAGTTGATGCTATCGACGCCGTTTATCGATAAATTGTGTTAATCTTTTGAAAAATTGTTGCTGCGGTAACTGGCAATACTTTGCAATGCAATAATTGTGACTAATAATTATTTTGT